GGGACACGTAGGAAGTAGGGGTTTTTAGATACCTCCCCTATTAGAGGCATCACGTTTGCCCTACTAGACACAATAACGTAGGGGAAGTGTTCATAGACCCGAAAGGGAACCAGATAGCACTATAAATTGAACTATTTATTTATTTATTTATACTAATATTATAGCTACTATTCTTTCTTATAAGTACTACTTATACTTTCCTAAATATATTACCCTCCTGCACTAATAAGAAGTAGTGCATCTCTCTACGTCTTTTAAGTTCTATGTTGGCCGATCCTATTATAGGTATTATACGTAGGAACGTGTGCAATACCCTATGTTCTAAAACATAGACAATAATGCAGGTCTCGACGCTTCCAGTTGTGCCCATACTACAATTGTAGAAGCAGTCTACCTAAAAGCCTGTCAACGTTGCTGTTGTGAATCGCTTCTGGCAGGTCGCGATCCCTCTACCCTGCAAATCTGGTGTGCCCGTCTACTATAGTTCGCGCGAAGGTAGCGTGACGACTCCTTTTACTCCGGGCGAGGCAGGAGTCTCTGGTTATTGAACTTTCCGTTTCATGAGGTTAAGCGATGGATTTTGTTTTCCCTCGGTGTTGCATCATATTTAAGTGAGGGCATCCACGGTGCATCATATCTGGCCTGAAATCATTTGGCTTTGCTTGCTGTTTGCTTTTGGGCGTGCAAAGGACTCTTCGACACCGAAATTACAGCTAATCAAATACTTATGCCGCTGGCACCAAGAACTTTAAAGGTACTCAAGTAGTGGTATGTCAAAAAAGAGCTGATCATACCGAACCTCCCAGACACATCAGACCTCCTCTGCTTCAGCCCAGGTCCAGCCTTCATTTTTTTGTCCTGGTCGGCACTAATTAGCTAGTGTTCGTAGAGCATTCCGATCTGCGAAAAGATGTGATCGTTCGCGAGAAGGTCAGGTAGTGGATATTCTAAAATAGGGAAGTCTTAAGGATTAAGAAGCACAAGACTATTACAAAACGTGTAATGCATATACAACAGAGCCAGAGTGAGCAAAGAAAAGCCATGTCAAGGATAGGCTCACTTTTTGATCCTAGTATTGGCTGTGTTGACCCGTTTGATATGCTGCTAGATGTTGGCAGGAAAGTAGGCCATATAATCGAATTCTGTAAGTTTTAGCCCTTGATTTTCTGTAGTTCATGCATTTGCTTACAAAGTGGTATCTTTCATCTTTGTCTTCAATGTTGACCTCGTCCGCAGTTCGTACTCCTATCCGGATAAGGTACCTAATTCGGACAATAAGTTAAAGCAATACACTCGTCACTGGACCATCGTTTATATATTGTAAACAAGCAAGCTTGGAGGCAAGATAAAATAATCCCTTGAATGTTAAAAGAAGATACCGTCCTAGGGACCATAGCTGGTGCGCGTTTCGTTCATTTTGTAGCTAAATGTTACGACTATAATTAGAGATAGCATGGCCAACCACTGACTATTATGGGAAGCATTGTCCTACTATTGATTGGCAGTGCAGGTTATGCAGAAGGAATTGAACAGAAAATTTGACCAATACTCGGACACTTTCCTATCATCGTTGTTCTGTTTTTGCACTTGTGCGGTAGGATATCCAATCCTGTATAATTAACAGTTAACTTCTAAGATAGTAGATAACTTTGCAAGCAACTACCAGGCATCTCTATTGCACCAGAAAGCTATGATCGAAGCGGTCATGCTAAACGGAGGGGTGGATATAAAGAAGGGACTTCAATCTTGTAGGCCGTAGACACATGAAGCTATGGTATGGTTCGTATAGTGGAAGACCAACATCTTAGTATAATTAACGTTTACATGTGCGAGTTCCACGTGGCCGCCGAGCTACCCATTCTCCCGTATCAACCACCACCTCCAAAAGAGGATTTTTCCGAAAGCTATCGTTCTCTCATCTTTGAATCTTATAGCCACAACACTCAATCACATTCCGTCCCTCTTGCACTTATGTAAATTGTTCATCCTCCAGCTCCAACAACTCTGCGTCTTGCAATCAGTTCCTAGTCCAAAAAGCAAGCAATGGCCTGGTTACTGTCAAGCTGACCCTGCAGGAGCCCACTTACTTTACTCTACTGAATACATAATGTTGCAACTACTTGCTGTAAAGAACATACATTTACGCTTCTTGAAGTTATGTTTACTAAAACATGCCAATTATACCAATCATTCCTTTGGCCTGCGGTTTGTGGCCTTCTGCCTGGAATGAAAATGTGCGATTTATTTGTTGCACAGCTACAAAAGCACAGAAAGTACTGCCCGAAACTATTCGAGTATCACTCTGCACCCCCTACATTGGAAATATCATCGAACCCTGCTGTTATTTCTCAATTTTTCTCTCTTACACTCCCGCCGCTGCAAACTCCGCATCTTATCGACAATGAAAGCTCTTGCCACTCATTTCGTAACAGCAACACTGTTTCTCCCTGCAATAGCCCCGATGTACCTATTATTTAAGCATTGTGCCTTGGGGCAATAACATCGAGCGTTGGCATGCGACCCCAACATAGCTGTTTCAAGAGACAATTGCTCTGGATGATATTTATTTAAAACCTGCATATCTTCTAGAGTATTTACAATTCAAAGGCTATTTTTAAATATTACGTACACCAAAGCGTTTTATAGTGCTGGTACTAGAAGATTAGGTATGAAGTTTCCGCATAGAGAGCCAAGTATACGCCCGGAGAATGTTTGTCATTAAAAAGGAACAGCATATCAACACCTAGACACATTAGTAGCTATAGAAAGCTTAG